TTTAGATTTTTGTTTTTTTTTTTTCTTTTGTTTTTCTTTTTTTTTAAAAATTGGTTTGGGTTTTTTTTTTTTTTTTTTTTTTTTTTTTTAAATCTTTCTGCAAGGATGTCTAGTTGTCTCTGCATACTTGTCAAAGATTATCTGTTCCCATTGAATTGCCTCGGTACATTAGTTGGAAACCAATTGCTCATATACTGTCTGGATTTCTCTAGCTTTGTGGTCAGTTTTGAAATGGAGAAGTGTGTCTTTCAACTCTGTTTTTCATCAAGGTTGTTTTAACTATTTTCAGTCCTTTGCATTTCCAAAGCCTGCTAGGATTCTGAATGAGATTGTGTTCAATACTATAGATTGGTTTGGGGGTGGAAAATTTTTTTTTTTTTTTTTGTTGGACAGTAATTGCCCTATGCAATCACAGTTCCTGGCTGGAGTTGCTAAGATCTGAGTTCACATATACTAGATCCTTGCCATGGGTCAGCTGCTGATTCTTCCTAAGAAATAGTTGCCTTATGGAATTCCACAAATTCCTGATTTTTCTGAGTTTACTCATTATGAAGATATCCATTAAGTAGATACCTACTTCCAGAGGTAGACCGCTTGATCATACTTGCTGTATAGTGTGTTCCAAGTCCCTACCAAAGTACAAGGTTAATGTTTATCTTCATGAGACTCTGGCAGAATCTCTTCACAAATTTTGTCGTACACTTCTAGACATTCCAGCTCAACACTGTATTATTTGTAGAGCCTGCTTGTTTCCTTTTTGGCTAGGAGACTAGAATGTGCATCTTTTCTTGGATCAACTTTCAGGACAAATAAGGATTTTAAGGCCTTCTCAAGGTCTGTTATTGGAAGACATCATTCTCTGGAGCCTGGGCAGGAGACTGCTCTGAGGACATGGAGCACTGCCCCCACCATCTTGTTCTCTGTCTTGGCTCCCTTGGAATCACTAATTATTAATGACCGAAAAGCTTTCTAATTATGACTGTCTTGCCCATCGAAGATTAAGCCCAGTTTTTTGTCTTGCCAAGTAAATTTAGTTTACATATTTCATCATATTTTTAGAGGATAAATTACTTATGAGACAGCCTATTTCCTGATTTAAAAGGACCAATCAGTTTAACTAGATTTCAGTTGCTTAATGTGGTAAGTACTTTTGTAAACTCTTATAATGTAAGATCCAGGACCTAAACTTCTCAGGAAAAATATACAAAAATTTGTTCTTTTTATGGTAACATGTTGTATTTAGTATTCTTACAGAATACAAAAATACTAGGATAACTCAAACCTAACAATATACATATTTTTCTTTCTATAGGAAAGCACAAGAAGAAGACAGAAGTACTGTAAGTCTCAAGAAATTCTGAATGAAATAAAAAGTTCTCCACAACAATCCAGCAGCATACAATTCCCCAATTCATTTTATGAATCCTATCAAGATTCTGCCAGTCCAGACATAGTCAATTTGAGATCTTCATCTTGGTATACATATACTTCTACAACTGGTATGGAGATAACAGACTTTACTCTTAGTGAAGAGATGAAGGCAGACATGTATTACTATGGCTTCATCATTCTTTTTCTTTTGACTTTAGTATGTCTTGCTTTGTATTTTCTATGATGATATCAAATAAAATCCTTTTGATAATTTTTAAAGTTGCCAGTTCTTCATAGAAATGTTACATTCTTATTTCAGGATTTCCTTCCAGACATTTTCAAGGTAATTGGCTTGTAAAAAGAGAATACATTTTAACACAGTAAGTTTGTGGACATTCTAAAAGTAAGATTGCTTTATGCTAGAAAATGGGTGTCATGATACACTTTGGAAAATACTTTTTTGGCCAAAGGAGCAATTTAAAAAACAATGTTATTCATAGGGACAATTTTATTTTTTTTTTTAAATATACCTAGAAGAACAGAAGTAACAAAATGTTTAAGATGGATATGTATGTAGTGTATCAGCTTACCTTCCAGAACATGTTACTACAAGCTAGGCACACTTTATGAAATGTGATTAATGGTTTTCTTACCTTGCTACAATATGGGCATTCACCAAATATGATGTTAAAACTCTGTCTACTAGTCGGCAGTCCTCTCAACCACTGAAGATTTTAAAAAGAGAAGATAAAGGGAGAGTGTCAGCATGACTACAAATTACAGATACTCCAAGTATTACTTCCTTTGAATACTTATATTTTATTCCCAAACATTGACCTTCTTAATTTTCCTTTAACAAAAAGTAAGGGGAACATTTCCTGAGCCAATACCAGACTGGTAATATGCTGAACAACAAGGGAGACCAGCATGGATTTCAGGGTTTATACCACTGGTTTATAGCTAAATTATAGGCCGCTTTATGTACTTTCTCAACCCCATAAGACACAAAAATAATGCACACAAGTCCATGGGGTTCATAGACCCCACCTAAAATCATTACAAATTAAGAACTCCTGCTGTAAAAGATACCACAGGCTCTTGAATATTTAGGTCTTAATCACCAATAGTGGGTTCTCAATCCATTAATTAGAAGCGTGAGGCAATCCATTTTTAAAAATTAAATGAATATTCATTATTATAAAAAAAGCACATGTTCCCTTAAGAATATCTCTATAATTAGACTTGATATTTAATGGTTTTATATAAGGTAAATTGACATCTCCAAGTTCTCCATTGTTAACACCAACTACTAAGCGCAAAGATGGTAGGTGATATTAAGGAAGACAGGAAGCACTATACAACTGAAAGGTGCTCTATATAATCAAGTCAACTGTGCACCAAGAGGAATGCTATAGAGATCAAGTGACTACACAGGAATGAAAGCAGACTTCACATATAGTAAATAACAGTAAATAAAATGTCACTGAGAGTCCTATCACATTTTTAGAGCATAAAATACATTCTTCTCAATATCAAAAGATTATTATATTTATTCTGTACTTAAGCCTACTCTGAAAAGTAATAGATACCCAATAGTGCTACTTCCCTTTCACCTTATTGCCACTACTACTCCCTTTTGGATGATTCTACAGAGTTTGCCTTGGGTTACAGGAGGCATTAAACAGTCCAAGGTACCACTGATTTGATTTGTTAGCATCAGTAAACAGTCTATGAATATATTCTGGATACAATTTCTCCTTTCTTGGGATACTTTAGGACATTTCATCACTTACTAGTAACCAGGATGAAGAAATAAAAGCACACGGGCATCTGGAAATGAACTGGTAAAGGGGCCAATGGCAAAAGAGATCACCATTCAGTAAACAGAATTTAGACTCTGTGTATTTCAAATATGCATACTCCCTATGTCATGGTAGCCAAAAAAAGTCTTGCCAAGGTTATTTTTATTTTATTTCTACCTCATATAAGCATATTTGATGGAAAGGCTGTCCACACTGGGAGTTATCACACACTTGATTAGGAATGGCGCCATCAAGCTGATAGGCATAACAAATCCCACAATCCATAGAAAAATCCTTCAAAAGAAAACAAATATTTATAAGTATATGTGTTTAAAACCTATAGGTAACATAAGAGTGAATATGGTATAGATAAATATTAACTTTTTATAAAGTTTTTTTTTTTTTTTTTTTTTTTTTTTTATAAAGGTAGCTATATGACTATTTAACACCTTAGAAAAGCTATTGCTAAGAAGAGTGCTTCCTTTTTCATCCAGTAAGTAATGCACACAGATATACTCAAAACAGACTCTATTTTGGGCTTAGGTAATTTTTCCATATTGTACTTCAGTATAATGCCACTGTAGTATGTAAAGAGAAGAACTGACATTTGATTACTAAATTTCAAAATTCTGTAACTAAAGGAATTAAAAAAAACATCCCTACCACTTTAACCATCTGCAACCCTAGCTGCTTTATCAAAAATCAATTCTAAGGTTATTATTTTTGCAACATAGTAATGTCTATTCATTTTTAAAAAAACTGTACTGCCACCTTTCACAAATAACATCTAGTTAATTAAAACTTTATTTCAATCATCCATAAGTAGATAGTAACAGAATATCCAAACATCTCATTAGCTACTTTGGACCTTTCCCCCTATTTTTAATAATAAAGATGTCTGTCATTAATCACTTTATTGCTGCGAAGACCATGAAAAAAGTATACTTAAACCACTAATCAAAGGTTAACAAGTTCTTTGATGCTACTGTTGCTTGCAGTTCAGAAGTCTGTTATAATATTCTTCCAACTCCCTCCCTTTCAGCCTCATTTTTCTCTGGTGTCTAAAAGAAGAACATTTAACTTTCATTATGCTATGCTGTTTGGAATATCAAAGCACTGATAAAACTTACAGATTTTTCCAGGTTAGCACGAGCTGGAAAATCTATTTCTAAAACATCTTTCAAGTTTTGTAACAGACTATTTTCTGGATCCCTGAAAGCATGAAAAAAAAATGTGTTGTTAAATTTGCAAAATAGAAGAAGAACAATTGTATTGCAGAGATACCTACCACAAATGTATGTTTCTGCTCAGCTTAATTCCCAGAGGTTTTACCACTTCAGATATTAAAAAAAAAAAAAAAAAAAAAAATTTTAATAATTTTCATATTTCCCTTTCTCTTTTTTAAAAAAAATAAAAAAAAATTTTTTTTTTTTTTTTTTTTTTTTTTTTTACTGAGATATAATTGGCATATAACATTGTATTAGTTTTGGGGGTACAACATAATGATTAGGTATATGTACTTATTGCAATACACTCACTACAAAGGTTAGTTAACATATCACCACTTGTAGTTACAAAGTTTTTTTTCTTTGATGAGAACTTTTAAAATCTATTCTCATAGTAACTTACAAATATAAATAGTTAAATACAGAATTTCCTAATTACTTGGCTGGAAAATCTAAATCATATTTTTTAACACCACAAAAGTACATAGTTCAGAATATTTTTATTTAAAATGATTACCAATAATTGCTATTTCAGAGTATCTTAACAGTGCGAGATAAGAATTTTATGACCCTGTTAAAAACATTTAAATGTGAGATCTCATACCATGGTCTGCTCCAAGAAAGCAGTACTCAGGAAGCATACTAGGATGCCTGGGGTCAACCTCTATATTTATTGAAGCATTATTTCCTAAAATAAAAGAATATTGAAGTTTATAGAAGTAGAAAAGTTCATCAAACAAAAAATAAAGGGGCATCTATCTGGTGCTTACTATACCAAATGATTAGCCAATGTTTTATAGTTTTTGTATATTAGTAGTTTACAGTCTAAGAGAAATAAATTTTGAAATTATGATTATGACTAAAGATTTGGGGATCCACCCAAAGTTTCAAAATACACAGTCAATCCACTGAGTTACTATAATTTATACTAGAATTCTGGTCAGAATTCTAGTATACATTAAAAAGTTATCTATAGAGTGATAAAGATCTTTAATATTAAAAGAAATCACAAGATTAGGAAATAGTTATCTAAATGACTCCCATGACTTTCTTGAAAAGCAGAACTGTGGTCAAAAATTAAAAGACCAGAAATACAATAAATGGTAAAAACAAACATGTTTACACCTTTTTATGAAGTTTTATCAAAACATTTTCTAACCATAATCACTTTCAATGTAACTGGACTAAATTTTCCAATCTAACAACACAGGGTTTCAGAATGGAGTTAAAAAAAAAACAAAACACAAGACCCATCTATATGCTGCCTACAAGAGATTCATTTTACACCTAAAGATAGCTGCAGATTGAAAGGGAGAGGGTGGAGAAACACTTGTCACACAAATGGGTATCAAAAGAAAGAGGGAGTAGCCATACTTACATTGGACAAATGACTTTATTTTCTTTAAATTCAATCATTATACAACGTATTACTAGTTTCAGAGGTAGAGTTTAGTAAGTTATCAGTTGCATATAACACCCAGAGCTCATTACACCAAGTGCCCTCCTTAATGCCCATCACCCAATTATCCCATCCCTTCACCCCCATCCCTTCCAGCAACCCTTAGTTTTTGTTTCCTATGATTAAGAGTCTCTTACAGTTTGTCTCCCTCTCTGATTTCATCTTATTTTTCTATCCCTTCCTTTATGATCATCTGTTGTTTGTTAAATTCCACATATGAGTAAAATCATAATAACTTTCTCTGACTTCACTTAGCATAATACCCTCTAGTTCCATCCACAATGTTGCAAATGGTAAGATTTCACTTTTTGATGACTGAGTAATACTCCACTGTATTTATATATACCACATCTCTTTATCCTTTCATCTGTTGATGGACATATCTGGATTCTTTCCATATTTTGGCTGTTGTGGACACTGCTGCTATAAACATCAGGGTGCATATTCCCCTTCAAATCACTCTTTGTATCCTTTGGATAAATACCAAGTAGTGCAATCGCTGGTCATAGGATAGCTCTATTTTTAACTATGGACAAACTAGACTTTAAACAAAGACTGTAACAAGAGATGAAAAAGGGAACAATCTAACAAGAACATCTAACAACCGCCAATATTTATGCACCCAACGTAGAAGCACCCAAATATATAAAACAATAACATAAAGGAACTAATTGATAATAATAATAATAGGGGACTTTAACACCCTACTTACATCAATGGGACAGATCATCTCAACAGAAGAGCAACAAGGAAACAATGGCTATGAATGACACATTGAACCAGATGGACTTAACAGAAATATTCAGAATATTCCATCCTAAAACAGCAGAATACACATTCTTTTCAAGAGCACATGGAACATTCTACAGAATAGATCACATATTAGGTCACAAAACAGACCTCACCAAATACAAAAAGACTGAAACCACCCCCCTTTTTTAGTCAATGCAATGAAACTTAAAGTCACCCACCTAAAAAAAATTGAGGAAGACACAAATAAATGGAGGTTTAACAACATGCTACTCAACAATGAATGGGGTCAACCAGGAAATAAAAGAAGAAATTTGAAAATACATGGAAATAAATGAAAATGATAACAGTCCAAAACCATGGAGATGCAACAAAAGTGGTCTTAACACTGAAGTATATATGGCAATACAGGGCTACCTCAAGAAGCAAGAAAAATCTCCAACCACCTAACCTTAAACCTAAAGGAGCTAGAAAAATAACAATAAATGAAGCCTAAAGCCAGCAGAAGGACAGAAATAATAAAGATTAAGACAGTAATAAATGATACAGAAACTAAAAAATCAAAACAAAACAAAACAAAAAAAAATAGAACAGATCAATGAAACCAGGTGCTGTTTCTCTGAGAAAAAAAAAATAAAGCTCTAGCCAGACTTGTCAAAAAGAAAACAGAAAGGACCCAAATAAATAAAATCACAAATGAAAGAGGAGAAATAACAACCAACACCAAAGAAATAAAATTATAAGAGATTATGAAAAATTATATGCAAATAATTGGAACAACCTGGAAGTGGATAAATTCCTAGAAACATATAAACTGCCAAACTGGATCAGGAAGAAATAGAAAATTTGTCCAGACTAATAACAAGCAAAAAAATTTAATCAGTAATCCAAAAACTCCCAAGAAACAAAAGTCCATGGCTAGATGGCTTCACAGGTGAATTCTAGCCACAGCAATCAGAAAACAAAAAGAATTAAAAGGCATCCAAATCAGCAAGGAATAAGCCAAACTTTCATTCTCTGCAGAACACATGATATCTATATAGAAAACCCAGAAGACTCCACCAAAAAACTGCTGAACAGATAAATGGATTCAGTAAAGTTGAAGGATACAAAATCAACATACACAAGTCTGTTCCGTTAATATACACCAATAATGAATCAGCAGAAAACAAAGGAATCAACCCCATTTACAACTGCACCAAAAATAAGATACCTAGGAATAAACCTAGTCAAAGAGGGGAAAGACCTGTACTCTGAAAACTATAAACAATGATCAAAAAAACTGAAGATGACACAAAGAAATGTAAAGACATTCCATGCTCATGGATTGGAAGAACAAATATTGTCGAAATGTCTATACTAACCAAAGCAATCTACACATTTAATGCAATCTCTATCAAACTACCAACATTTTTCACAGAACATAAACAACCCTAAAATTTATATGGAATCACAAAAGACCCTGAGTAGCCAAAGCAACCTTGAAAAAGAAAAGCAAAGTTGGAGGCATCAAAATTCCAAACTTCAAATTATATTACAAAGCTGCAGTGATCAAAACAGTATGGTACTGGCAAAAAAACAGACACCTAGATCAATGGTACAGAACAATACCCAGAAATAAACCTACAACTATATGGTCAACTAATCTTTGACAAAGCAGGAAAGAATATCCCATGGGAAATGATGATGGGGAAATTGGACAGAAACATGCAGGAGAATGAAACTGAACCACTTTCTTACACCAAACACAAAAATAATTTCAAAATGGCTGAAAGACGACCTAAGTGTGAGACCTGAATCCATAATAATCCTAGAAGAGAACACAGGCAGTAATCTCTTTGTGACACTGGCCATAGCAACCTCTTTCTAGAACTATCTTCTGAGACAAGGGAAACAAAAGCAAAGATAAACTATTTAGACCTCATCAGAATAAAAAGCTTCTGCAAAGAAAATGAATCCACAAGACTAAAAGGCAGTGTATGGAGTGGGAGAAGTTATTTGCAAATGACATATCTGATATAGGGTTAGTATACAAAATATATAAAGACCTTGTGAAACTCAACACCCAAAAAACAATCCAATGGAAAACGGGCAGAAGATATGAATAGACATTTTTGCAAAGAAGACATACTGATGGCCAACAGACACAAAAAGATGCTCAATATCACTCTTCATCAGGGAAACAGAAATCAAAACTACAATGAGACAGCACTTCACACCCGTCAGAATGGCTAAAAACAACAAAAGAAACAACAGGTGGTGGCGAGGATGTGGAGAAAGGGGAACCCTCTTACACTGTTGGTGGGAATTCAAACTAATGCAGCCACTCTGGAAAACAATATGGAGATTCCTTAAAAAGTTAAAAACAGAACTACCCTACAAACCAGCAATTGTACTACTAGGTATTTACCCAAAGAATACAAAAATACTAATTCAAAAGGATATATGCACCCTGATGTTTATAGCAACATTATCTACAATAGCCAAATTATGAAAACAGCCCAAGCGTCCATCAACTGATGAATGGATAAAGAAGTAGGGGTATAGATATACAATGGAATATTACCAGCCATTAAAAAAAAAAAATGAAATCTTGCTGTGGCAACTATGTGGATGGAGCCAGAAAGAATTACACTAAGTGAAATCAGTCAGAGAGAGAGAAATACCATATGATTTCACTCATATATGGAATTTAAGAAAACAAATGAGCATAGGGAGATAAAAGAGAGAGAGAGGCAAATCAAGAAAAGAGACTCTTAACTATAGAGAGCAAAGTGATGGTTACCAGAGGGGAGGTAGGTGGTGGAATGGGTTAAACAGGTGATGGGGATTAAGGAGGGCACTTGTGATGAGCACCCAGTGTTGTATGGAAGTACTGAATCACTATATGGTACATCTGAAACTAATATTACACGGTAGGTCACCTGGAATTTAAAAACTTAAAAAATAATAATACAGAAATAAAAAACATTTTTAGTTCTTTTGTTCCATTATAAGTTAACAATGGATTCAATTCATATTAAATCAGATACTGTTTATTCAATAACAAAAACAACTTACCTAGTTTTATGGAATCTAAGAAAATCTATTTCTATTTGGCAATAAATTCCTTTATAAATTCTACCTAGTGGAATATTGTACTAATTTCAGAAATGTTACTATTTCTTAGAGGTACATTAGTATAACTATAAGGTCTATTTGGATTTTTTATTTTTTATAAACATATAATATCTTTTTATCCCCAGGGGTACAGGTCTGTGAATCGCCAGGTTTACACACTTCACAGCACTCATCATAGCACATACCCTCCCCAATGTCCAT